TTTTCCCTGATTCATAAATAGCCTTGGAAAATATAACTTACCTGCTTCATCTACTTTAAAAAGATATGAATATTTCAGATCTTAATTTTTGAAATTGATGCAAGTACAAGTATATGAAGGAATTGTTATTAATATTTTTAATAAAAATACGAGTATATGAATATTCGACGTCAATAATTTTGAGGACCGAGGTTACTTATTTCTTAAAAAAGTTTTTCATTTTCCTCTTACATAATCGTACTTCCTTACCTACATCGCTATGCCAGGTGTCCTATTTTTGGGACAGCTCAAAAATTTGGGTTAAGTTTAATATCTTTAGGATACCATTATCTGGATCAATTGAAGTTTAGTTTTTTTCTTCTTTTTTTTTTCCTGTTAGGTAAAGAGTGAAAATTTAGCACTCTCGGGATTTTGTGGAAGTCTCCAGCGACGACTGTAAGTGCCAAACTTGCTTATCGATTTTTATCTGCATCGATCTAAACCGGCATCGGTGTAACTTTCCCTACCATAGGTAGACGCATTGTCATGCATACGTATATATTTCTCCCCTTTCTATCTTCTCCATATTTTATAGAGGTAATGCTGTGGAAAGTATAGGTAAATAGACAAGGGGGAGGGACTTTGAGGTTGTGGCAACTAGCCAAGAATATTACTTGTTTAATAAATGATGTTTTATATTTATTTTACTCAATATATAGATTTATTGTTAAATTTTAACTGAGAAGCACATTTTTTTAAAAATTTAATTGATTTGATTTAATTTAATTCACTAGTGCTCGTAGAGCTGTTTTTTTAAAATGTTTCTTAAAATTCATTATGTGTCCGTAAGAAATTTATATAAATTTAACTTAGTTTTAACTTTTATTCATTTAATCCGGTAGTGTCCCTGGTTCTAAAAAAATATGCATTATGAGCTCTCAGGAATTTCATTCATTTTTAATATATTATAAAAACCACACGTATTTATTAACTTATTTTTTAAAAAATATATTTGATCTAATTTAATCCACTACTGCTCATGGCCCTTTTTTTTAAAGATTGTTTCTAAAAATGCAGTATAAGTCCACGGGAAATTAATTTACTCTTAATTTAATCCACTAGTGCCATTGGTTATTTTTGATAACGATTTTAAATATGCTTTATAAGCCCACATGAATTTAATTCTGTTTGTTTAATTTAATCTATTATTGCCTGTGGTCCTTTTTGAGAAATGATTATAAAAATACATTATGAGTACAAAGTTTAATTTACCTTTAATTTAATTTGATTTATTTGATGTAGTTTAATCTACAATTGCCTATGATACTTTTTAGGAATGATTCCAAAAATATATGATCATAACAATTTAATTTTAATCAATTTATCATTTAATCAATTTAACATATTAATCAATTAATAATTTTAATCAATTTATATTCAATCAAATTTTTTAGAGAAAGTTCTAAATATGCTTTAAGAGCTCACATGAATTTTTTTATTTTTTTTATTCATTTAAATGATTTTTAAGCATTCTCTTCTGTTAAATTTTATCAATTACTATCGATCATATATATATATTTATCATATCCTATTTTATACAGCCTATTTTATATAGCCTATATTTTTATATAGCCTTTGTTCGAATCCAAGTGCAGTCATTATTTATAAGTCCGATTAGAATGTAGTTTAATGCAATGTTCAGTAAAAAAATGATACGTTTATTTTATTACTATTAATAAATTTGCATTAATCAAATATTATGATAAACATTGTTCGGAGGATGGGGGGATCTTCCGTTTAACATTTCGTTAGTGTTTTGTTCTTTTAAATTACGTGTTGAAATTTTGTAAAATTTTCATTCTAACAAAACAAAAAGAATTTTCTCATTATTAATTTTTCTCTTGATTTCATGACATTTATCATAGAAAGTATTATTGGAAATGTTTAAATTATTTGTGCTAATCAATTCAATAGTACTTATATTCTTTTTGAAAATAAAGTTTAATTATTACATACAAAATTAATATTTGTTTGTAGTACTTTTCTTTCCGAATTTCGAAGGTGCTTATAAGCATTTTAGTTTACTAATATTGTTTCACAAAGCTCGTTATGCATGTAGCTCGCGTAGAATGTATTGTATAATATTTTATAGCGAAACATACTAGCAATATTGTTAAAATTATGAAAAATATTATTAAAAACAAGATAATAAAGTTTTAAAATTTATTTTACAAAGTATGACAAATTCATACAGTATATTTTATATCCAACATCATAAAGGGAAGAAAAAAAAAGATTAAATTTATTAAAATTATTAACATTATAATAAAAGATGATCAAATTTATTACGAAAGATATAATTAGAAAAAATTTAATTATCGGAAATTAAGTTTAAAGTAAATTTAGAAATTTTTTAAAAATTAATATAATTTATATTATTAAGGAATAATACTTCTGAAATAATCATATATTCAGTCGTTTTCTAAATTAAGCACCCTGCTTTGCTTCAGAATTGAATCGGATCGATGCATTGTAATTATTCAATAAATAAATCATTAACCATGAGATTTCCTTGTTTGAATTAGTTGGCACAATATTAATTAAAAAATTGTATTCGCAATTTTATCTTTGGTACATGCAGATACTTCACAAATTAACAAAATAAAACAAAAACAATCAAGATGTAAAGATATTTCTTTTACCTAAACCGTTTTAAAAAAAATTTCAAAACAAACAAAATGTTAGCATTATAGACTAGAGATGAGTTCGGTCTCGAGTTTAGAGGTCCGAGCTGGAGCAATTTTAATTCGTTTCCACCCGAGTTCGAACCCGTCCGAGCCAATATAAACGTTGGATACAGACCAAATTTTTAAGTCTCGTCACTCAGCCTTTGACGTCTAAACAAGGTAATTAAAATTTAAAATCTTTTTTTTATCACTAACCTGTAAAACAAAAAGCGAAGAAAATGTTTTGTGTCGGATAAATTTTATATTTTTTATACCTAATAACTGAATCAAACGTTTGTTTAAAAGTTGTAAAAAAGTTTATAAATATTATTCGTTTGTTTATATCCTTTGCTAGAGATAATTTTTATCCTTTGAAGATGTGAGCTTTTGTAAAATTTTATTAAAACTGTAGTGTACTCCGTATTATACATAGAAAGTTAATTTTTCTACCTTAATTATAATAGAAAAGTAGCAAATTCTTTTACCCTAAAATTGTCACTTATGTTAACAGTCCTTATTATGAATGATATTTATGAATTATAATTTAAAAAAAAGCATCCTATAAATAAAATTTTCACTAATAGTAAGTAATGCACAACTTTCATTCAAACCACGCGTGTCTTTGCCTTAGTAATCGAAAAAGCGCGCCAAATATCTGTCGGCTATTCCAGTCATCGAGATCACACCCACTGCGGATTTTGTTCTATGCTATGAGAGAGAAAGTCGAGAATCTAATATTGTTTCCTTTCGTACTTTATCGACAGCCGCTTTTAAGTTATTTTGTTGTTTGTAATTCTATGTTTTTTTTAATAAATAAAAGAAAAACATTTTTGTGTTTAAATTAGGCTTTTTTTAAAATTTAAAACTGATTTATTTTTAAATTTTGAATAAAAAGTTAAGTAATATGATCTATATAGCAAGAAATTAAGCTACTATAAAGTATAATCATTAAAACTGTACTATTTTGTTTAACTATTATCTATTAATCTACTATTATTATTAATAAACCATTAAAAATCTCTTCCATCCTTCCAAAAACATGCTTACATGATAAAAAGCAATATCTGAAGACTAAGAATGTGCTTATACATCACTTTACATTTCAATTTAGCGTACAAATAAAAATTTAATATTAAAATGTTCTATTAGTAATGTATGTGTAAGAATGAGTACCCCTTTGTCAGCCTAGCATTATTTAATGTCATTAATTTGTAGTATTCGATTAATGGCATTTGTATCAGTTTACGTAATAAAATGATTCTGTTTTTTTTTTCCTTCCACTCAATTGAATACAAATTATAACGTTTAAATTAAAGGAACATAAAATATCGAAAGCAATATATTTTTTCAATTAAAAATGTGTCGAAATGATGAAAATATCTAAAAATGTCAAATGGGCTGCATGTCTGTCTCTTTCTCCCTCCCTCTCTCTGTGTTTGCATATTTATAATAGTGAAGTAAAGGTATGTTTTAGTATTAATGATATAATAAGTAAAGAATAAACTTTTTTGTTTTTTGCGATTCATTTTAACACAATGAGCTTTATGGATAACTTAAACTCATAAAATATGCAGCATTAATTTAAATAACGATGATATTCCAAAATTTAAATGAATTTTGAATATTTTTCAATATTTGAATTTTGCTCTCTTTATAAAAGCATTGTATTTGAGATTCATTAATAAAAGCATGCTACATACTTGCAATTGTTCAAGCTAACAGAAAAAAATTCTAAAATTAAGCTGAAAATTAAAATAAAAATTCAGTAAAGAACTTCCTTCCCATTTATGCTTTTGATGGGACAGCGAGCATAATGTATTATTATTTAACAAAATTAAAAGACGTCGTAACTTTTGAGTTGAACTTTATCTACGATTGAATTTTTAAATATTTTTGAAAACTATAAAAAACATGGTGTCGTTGGCGGTCTGTTTTATTTTAAGAATTTTTAGAAACAATAAGACTTAACTTTGAATTTATATCACATAATATAAATTTATATAAAGTAACACACACTCACATTAACAATTAAACCCAAGATTATTTTCATGAAAAAATGTACTATTTTTTCATTCGTTTGCTTTGAAACTTGAAGTATTTTTGTAAAGAATAGGAATTTAAATATTTTTAAAGGTTTTTTTTCTCAGTTTTTGTCTTAAACCAGCCTACTCTGGTTTGGTAAATCATTCAAATTATTTTCCAAAGCACTTCTCACCATAATCGATATTCTGGTTTCTCAGCTTAGTTATAATTATGTATGTTCCTTGTAATTAACAACTATGTTTTTTCTTTTAGAATCCTACGGCGCCAAGTCCGCTAGGTCAAATACCGCCAAATGATGGTATGCCTGGTGGTCCCATGGCTCCAGCGGGCTTCTTTCCTGTAAGTTGAAAAAACAAACACTATTTTTTTTTTCTTTCTAGTATTGATTAACCACACCACATATGTTAATGAATGTCTCATCCATCCGTCTAATAATTTGTCTCAAAAGTACAAATTTGTAATAAAGGTTTACGCAATTTTGGTGCTGCCATCTACACGCAGCTTTAGGAAACTAAAGTTCTTAATTGAGTTCTTGCGCTTCAATAGTTGTAGTGCTGCCATCTATTTTGAAACAACATACTGAAGAAATAAGTTGAAGTGTCGCCATCTGGATTAAAATAGTGAAACAATTGTAAACGTTAGTTTTGATTCACTTTTTTTTGAATAAAAAAGAAGAGAAAGCAATATTAAAAAAAAAGAAAGGACATTATTATAGTTTTAGCAGTATTAAGCTTTAGAAGATACTTCAAATTTGGATATTATTTTGAAAGAGTTTGAGATTTTGCCAAACTTAAAACAACTGCTTTATTTGCTTACACTTAGAATAGTATTTTTTACATAGTTAGTGTGGTGTGAAAGAAAGCTTTTCATATTTCCTTACCCTTGTAAGTATTTGTCAGTTATGTTATAGTTAACATTTTAAATGGTATATATTTATTATTATATATATAAATTCTCTTTCTCAAATATTTTGTTTAACATTTTAAATGATAAATGGTTTTTATTTTTCATCATACCATAAGCTACAATTGATCTTTTTTTTAAAAAAGAAAAATACTCCGCTTTGTATGGCACATTGTTTTTGCTTTCCTTTTGTTGATTAATTATATGTAACACATTGCTGAACCAATTGGTTTCGATTTTTTATCCGACCTTACTATACATCACTCTTTTTCTAATGTGAACAGTGTGGCAGTAAAACAGTTTTAAATGAATTAGTGAATATACATTATAAGTTAATAATTTTTAGGCCACAAGACAGTTTTCAGACAATTATATTTATTTAAAGTATGCAATGCCTATGTTCAATGCTGGTTAATTTTTATTTCTATATTCACATCATAATGTGTTAATTGTCTGAACAATTAAATTTAAACATATTTTTAATTTTCTCCATAAATAAGTTAGTTTATTTGTTTTATTGAAACCAACTTAATCAAAAAGTTGGCTATTTGTCTCAGAATTCACGATTTATTTGAAATTGAAATTTTATCATTGAATTTTCATTGAAAATTTTTATTCTTCCAGACAAAGACAATTCTTTTGGTATTTTAAAATATTATCATAGTTTAATATTTAGCTAGTTGTGATTTGAATATTTTTAATTATATTCATCTAGAATATTAAGACTTATATGCATTCTGGCAAGATAAAATTTTATGTGCGTCTGTATATTTAAAATCTTAATTATAAACAAATGAACCAAAAAGCACAAACATTTTTCTTTTGATTTTAATTAATCTTAGCAATTTAGAGAGTTATTTAAATGTAGGAAAAACTTAACTTTTAATATATTATTTTTACTCTATCTACCTATACGACATAGAACAACTAAAAACATAACTGACAAACATTTACATAAAATCTTATTCTTAGACTTCTCTTTATCTAGTTTTTCTGTTGTGCATGTTATTTTTCATGTAGCAAATGTTGCTCTTTGTGGCTGACTCTGCAGTGCTAAATCTTTTCTGCCTCTGTATTCTGTAGAGTCTTTAAAATGAGGTGGCATATCTTATTCATTTAAATTTAGTTCTTACCTTCCCATCATTCAATTAGGAACACTTTTAAGTGGGTTTAGTTTAGATAAAGTACACTGTCAGCTACATTGTTTGTTTTATACCCTTATATGCACTCCTACTTTAACACCTAGGTAGATATCTGAGTTTTTTTGCATGTTTAGATTTAGACACAGTTTATCAGTTTTCCTTTAGGAAATGTCACAGCAAATATCCATCTCATTTAAAAAAAAAAAACTGCATGTTCTGGTTTTCCGAAGTATGGGGTATTTCACAATCACTGACTTTAAACTTTCCAGAACTGGCAGATGGAGAAAAAAGTACTTCCCCAGGCTTGTAAACTATGAGTTTATATGTACTAATGTCATATGTAATGAGAGAGTCCCATATTGAAATCACTTTATTGTGATCTTTAGCCTGCTTGAGTCGGAAAGAATCGTTTCATTTATGATAGTGTGGGCAATTAAGAGAGAATTGTGCGACCACCAATAATGGGTGCAGCGAAAAGAAGAAAAAATTGAAACAGCAATTTTAAATATAATTTTATTTAAAATAAATATATTAGTATTTAGAGTATAGTTTTATTAACAAATAAATAAATTGGTTTGAGAGTGGCCTCCTTTCACAGTGACACAGAGTTGCAAACACATATAGAAATTTTCAGCAACAGGCTGCAATTCAGTGTTGAGAAAGATTCCTCTTCACCATCCATTACTCCTAGGACAATAGGATCTAGTCTATGGGCACTCCAAGCACCTTCAAAAATTTTGCCAAAGTCCTTGGTGGTGGAATTTGAACAAGGAGCAAAACCCCTCAGGTTCTTGTGGATGAGGGAGTTAAAATAAATTAAAAAGTGTAACCAATTTACAAAAAAGCTAATCAGCAACATAAACTGGGAGACTCTGTATCAGCCCTGGAGGCCAAAAAGACAGAAGTGGTGCACCGGACATGATATTATCTGAAGAACATCCATCCTACTTGCCTGATATCTATCCCATAGATTGCAGTGTACACTCCATTTTGGAGTCTTGGGTTTGCATTAAACTACACTATAGTTTGGACTCTCTTATATCTTTCCAGCGGGAATGGGGTAGATTAAAAGTCGAAAATTTGCAGCCCAATTTCCATGAGCGTTTGCACCTCTGTGGCTACTTTGGGACATATTAAATTTATTTATTAGTAAAAGCCTACTCTTATTATGATGTTATATTTTGTTAATATATTCAGTTTTAATAAAGTTATAAAAAAAAATTGATAATCCAGGATTTTGTTTCTGCACAATCACGGTTCTGAAAGGTTAAATATTTTTTTTTTTTTTTTTTTTTTTTTTTTTTTTNTTTTTTTTTTTTTTTTTTTTTTAAATCCTTGTCAATAATAAAATGAAAAAGTATGGATATTAGGAGTCCCAAATTGATATTTAAGAGAGAGAGGGAAAAAAATACTGTATCAAAATTTTATGAACTATTTCGAAATCAGAATTAACAGCACTTGAGCTAGTTTGATTGCTCGATGAAACTTAACTGTTTCTGATAAGCGCTTTTGAACTTCTGTTTCCTCTGGCTATAAACGGATTTTGGGATTTTCAGTCTACCCTATCTCAGAAGCAATTCCTTGCCTAAATATTAACTTGCCACTCCTAATATGTTTACTTTTTTTATTTTTACGGTGCCCCCTATATATGATTCTTATTAGTAATGTTGCGATTTTAGAAACATCATCTTTCAACTAAACTCTAATATCATAAGTTTTAATTTTGGCTCAAGTGTCCATATTGTTTAGTTTTTGGAATGTTTAAATCGTGTGTCTTATATCATACGAACCACAGGCTCAAATATTTGATCAAATTTCCTATTTTTCATTTTGTCAAGGTGTCTGCTACACTTAAAAACTTTATGTGTTCCATCATATACTTGACACTATCAATGGATGTTTATCAGAAATTCTGTCTATGATTTTTTTTATGGATAATTATGGGTCATTTAGATTCCTGTTTTAGAACATTTTTCAAGATGAAACTTTGTGAAAGATAAGTTTTTTTGGGCCATAAGATTTGAAAGTTCGTTTTGAGTAAGCAGGCATAGTTTCATTCCTAAGGAATCCTTGCGACATATTTTGCAATTATTTTAAGGTTTAGAATTTTGATAAAATATTTTCTTATTAGCAAAATTTTGCTTGTTTCTTTGTAAATAAGGAGATTTTTCTAAATTGATCACTCTTTGATTTTCAGATGACTTTCAAATTCATTGTCTGTTTAGATGTGTCGTAACTTGTGTATAGATTTTGCCTATGAAAAACACTAGTAGAATTTGTTTTCTCATGAAAAATGCATGTAAAATTTTTTTGGCCTTGGTGTAAGAACCACCTCTATAGGTTTTCTTACCACAGAAAAAAAAACAAATATTTTTCTCCATGAGAGCTTATGCAGAAATTTCTTGCCATTAGAATGACTTGTGTAGAATTTCTTTTCCATTAAACGATTTGTATAGAATTACTTACCCATTATGACTTGTAAAGCATTTCTTTGACAAAAAAGAATTTTTCAAGAATTCATTTGTCGTTTAAAGATTTGTGTGGAATTTTAATGCTGTTGAAGAACTTGCTCAGAACTTCTTTGTTCGTAAAGGATTTATGTAGAATTTCTTTGCCATTGATGAACTTGTCTTGAGTTTCTTTACCCTTAAAGGGTTAGTGTAGAATTTCTTTGCCATCAAAGAACTTCTCCAGAATTTCTTTACCCTTAACGGATTTGTATAGAATTACTTTGCCATTGAAGCGCTTGTCTAAAGTTTCTTTACCCTTGATGGACTTGTGTAGAATTTATTTGTCATCAAAGAACTTGTCTAGAGTTTCTTTACCCTTAAAAAATTTGAGTAAAATTTTTTGGTTTTCAAAGAACTTATGTAGAATTTCTTTGCTGTTTTGGAACTTGAGAAGAATTTTTTAACCATTAACACTAGAAAGACTGAAGCATAGTATATACCTACATTGCCCAAAAGCAGTCAATTGACTGTATTGTGAAAGAATAACTAATGTGTAAACAATTTGTTTAATTAATTTTCAATATTTTTTTTAATATTATTTACAGTTCTGTGACAAGTTATTAGTAAATAATTAAAATAAAAAAAATTCTGTATTATTATTGGTAAATTTTTCGCTAATGAAAAAGCTGTTAACAAGCAGTCAAAATGACTTCCGTGTGCAATCTAGTGTTAAAAGACTTGAGTGAATTTTCGGGGTACATATAAAAAAATTTCTTTGTAATTAAAAAAGAAAATTCCTTATAAAAGCTTAAAACCTGTTTCGATAAGGTCAAATTTTAAATAAACTATTCATAAAAATTGGTTTGGATTCAAAGCCTGTTGTTAAGGAACACTATGATTTGAATGCAGAAGGAATGCCACCTCATTTGTAGTGTTTATGTAGTATGTAATGCTGCATAGTGAATGTGTAGCTGCTGCCAGCCCTTCAAAAAACAAACCCTGCTTTCTCCCTTCCGCAGAATTCTCACATGAGGCCCTCGCCACCACAGCAGCCGGTGTCGCAGCCGTCCCCTCACCCGCAGCCCCCACCCCCACACAGTCAGATGCTGCCAAACCAGGTGAGAAAAAAAAAACAGTAAAAAAAGAAACAATTACAAACTGAAACATTGCACAAAATCCTTTTCCCTTCGCATGTTCATAACCTAACCATTTCTACCCTTTAGTATATGTGTCTTGTTATTGTTTAACATATATGCTTGAACTTCTACTCTCTTTGAATTGCATTTTTAGTGATGTTGTTTAATGAATTGCATAAAAAGTACATCTTCTGGAATTCTTTAAATAATTTTTATTCATTAATTATTTTATATGTTGAGATTGTAACTCTTACCATCAGAATTCAATCATAATAGAAGAAGGGTATAATTTTTAATTTTACTCCCATTTTTTATATTTTTTTTAAATATTTAAAAACTTCTTTTACTAGATGTACACAGAGATTTTTTAATAAATTTTAAAACAATTAGTAACTTTTTATGAATACTTTATAAGTGTTTAAACTTGGGCATAGATGGCGCCACTGAGAAACAAGAAACCCACACTTTGCCTTTAATTTCTCCAAGTAGGCTTGCACGTGTGGCAAGTGGCATTAGAACCAACCGACCAACCATAAGTGTTTAAGGTTTCACCAATTAAATGATGTTAAGCATCGAATTCTTTTTATTTGATTAAACTAATATAAATATATACGAGCTGGTAAATATTAAATAGCACCTTGATTGTTGAGTGTGAATACTTTAATAAGTTTACACTTATGCAAGGCTTGGCTTTACTCTTGAGTTAAAAAGAAAAAGAGAAGGAAGGCATTTTTGCACTTGATTATTTCAGCTCAATTTTAAGAAATCTTTGATGTAGATTAAAAGAGTGCATTGAAAAAAAAAAATCCTATTATAATGGTTATTACATTTTGAAGAAAAAGAGAGATATTAGTTAATGTGCTTTATGATACTGCATCATTAACATTTTACTGAAGACAAGGAAATATAAAATTTTAACTTAAATAAAAGTAATTTTTGTCAGAAGAATTTTTTTAAGTAAAAGTAGGGTGACCTGGGGTAATTCCTGATCAAAAAATGCTAACATCTATTTTGTGAAAAAACTATTCAAAATTGAATTTTAATATTTACTGGAAGTTTGAGGCTATATGAGATGAGTCCTATGCCACCTTCTTTGGTTTGAAAATCTAATTAGAATTTAAAATATTTTAATTTTTTAGTGATCTAGAATTACCCCAGGTCTTGATCATTTCTGGGGTAATTCCTGATCACTTCTGGGGTAATTACTGATCACCAGTTTTTATTGTAAAGGGGATGTTTAAAAATAATTATATAACAGTAATTAACAAATAAGACATCAAGATCAAACAAATAAACCAAAAAGATATGTTTAAGCAGCTAATAAAACGATTTATTTAAAAGCAAAAAGAACGATTAACACTTTAAATTTTCAAAAATCTTTGCATCGTGCCATACATTTTAGGCAATCAGCCAACTCATTCTCATGTTCTTCTGAAATATAAGAGAGTTCCCACATGGGTTACTTTTGCTGGATTTTTTAACTTCATTAAGGGAAAGTGTAAAGTTAAGTAAGGTATGTCAACAGCTCTGGCAGCAGCTCTCACACTGAAATTTTCATTTTCAATCATTAAAAGAAATTCACTAATTTTGTTTTCTAGAAGCTTAGTATCCTTTTTAGGCTTATAATTTCTCACCATATTTATACTAGGCTAATTTATAAACTTAAAAATTATTCTAACAATGTACACACATAAAATTAAGATAGAAGCAAGGTAAGACAAACCAGAAATGGTGCAAATCAGAATACAGTCTTGTATACAGTTAAAAACAAATTTTGTGATGACAGTTAAAATATATTTTATAGTTGTTCCACTTAATAAATATGAACTGTTATTTAAGAAAAGACAATTAGCTATTTATAAGCTATTTTATATACTATTTATAAGAAGAAATGACAATGATCAGGAATTACCCCAGTGATCAATAATTACCCCATCTGTAGGGGGCAACATTTGATATAGTTTCCTATAATCAATTATAATGTTTACAGTAGATGTGAAACAATTAAACAAAAGCTTACACTACTTTTATATCAAAGAAAAAGAAAGTGACTCAAAATATTTATTATTAAGAGAAGGAGGGGGATCTTTGCAGAAATGTGCACATTTTGATACCCATCTTTGAAATGGAAAATACAGAAAGCAGTTTAAAAAATACTTATTTTGTTAGATTAAACAAAACATTATTATTAAGTTAATGTAGTTATACTTTAGTAAAGTGTACAAGCATCCTTGTCCATGTCTCAAATTTAAAAAAAATATAATTTTTTTTAAATAAAACTTAGGTGATCATTATTTACCCCAGAAACAGAGTGATCCTGAATTACCCTGGGTCACCCTATTATAAATTATTATTATTAAGCACTCTAGAGCAAAAATAAACCTTCCAGCTTTTTAAATTATTTTTATTTTTTTAAACTTTCTAATCAAATATTTTTGACGGATTAGTTTCATTCATATCTAAAGGCATTGTAAAATATTAACGAAAATTTGAGAATTCGTTTTTTTTTTCTTCCTCTTTCACCCATAACAGTAGATTCTATTTTAAAATTTCGTGGAGCAAATTGATCTTTCTGCTAGTGGCGCCATCTAGTAATATTAACTTCATTGAATAAGTTTCCCTAAATTCATTTTAAATTAACAATTTAGCCAATTTTTTTCTCTAGGAGAATAATGGGCATTATTCAGTCGTTTTAATTTTTTATAAAATTATTATTATAAATTATATTTTAATTTAAGTTTTCAAATATATTTTGCACATATTTTTTCTTCTTAAATTGTACTTTTTGTAGGGAAACTCTGAAATTCAGTTTCTTTTTTACTCATTGATGTACTTTTAATTTATTGTTGTTCATTCGATTACATTACAGATAATTCCTCTTGTATTTATTTAATAGGGGTGGCTTGAGCCTGCTGTATTCATTTCTTTCTTTTTTTATGTTTGGGAAAAATGTTCTCTCCTTCCAGTGTATGAATGTATGTGTGTGTGAATATTAACTGCATGAATGCATGCTTTCTACTAACATATAATAACTCAAATTAACCAATTACTAACAAAATCAGTGTATAGGGTGCTGTTTAAGTTCTGATAAATATGATTTCCTAATGCATGATAACTTTTTTTTTCGAAACATTTTTATTTAGATTTTGTTTTGAAAGGAAATATATTATTCATAGGAAAAAAGTCATCAAAATTTTGATTTTCTGAATAATTTACAAATATGTATTTAAATTTTTTATTTAATTAGTTTTAATTTTTAGCTCTTCTTTTTTTTTGTTACATATTACCTATATACAGAGTTATCTTTCAATTATCTGTTCAAATATTGTAATTTTGTTTTTAAATTTTAAAGCACCCTGTACAACATAGTTTTTTTTTTTTTTTTCCGCATGCCTAATGNTTTTTTTTTTTTTTGTTCCGCATGCCTAATGTGGTGAAGGTGACCCCAATTTTTTTTCGTCCTTTGTCTTATAACATTTTACAATTTATTCAGCTTCTATATATTAAAAATAATATGTTATTATTTTATTTATGTTTTTGCCTGTATAATTTATAGCTTTTTATTGTAAAGAAAATCCTGAGTTTTCTTTTTTGAGAAACTCAATAATCAATCTTAAAAACTGTTTAGTATTTATTTCATTTTTAAACATTTGATGCTGTTTGTTTGGAGAAAATTACTCATCTGGAAGTAAGTTAAAGTGACAGTTTTTTATTTTTTATTTGTGTAATATGTGATGCATCGATATCTTGAAGATTGTCAAGTTCTCTTACCATTTGTCAAGAACTGGTGAGTTTTCCTAACCAAAACTAAGCTCTTGTCTTCTGTTTCATTCATAATGAATTGTCTGTACTTATTGTACAACTAAAACTAAATAAAACTGAAAGTTAAGTTTTATTTATTTTGTCTTAATTGTCTTCTTATATATTTAAGTAACATACAATGTTAATTGAAATCAATATGATAAATATTGTTTTAATTTCCTTTTGCCTTTATGTCAATCATGGATAACATTCGCCGGAATATATTAGAATTCAAATCAGCGATAATTCACGCTTTAAATCATCGTAGAAGCATTAGTTGATTTAATTTAAGCGCTGCTTTAAAAAGTTAGCTCAAACGTAGCATGAATTCATATAAGTTTTCTGGAAACAAATTTATTTCTTTAAAAGGCTTTTGTGCTGCCACCTAGTGTCTGTAATACACACTATTTTTAGTATTTAAAGTTGAAATCATATGATTAGTTTATCAATAGAAAATTGAACCTAGGGAGAAAAAAAAAGAATTTTATCTATATTTAAAAATTTATTACAACCCGAAAATTCATTCATTTAACAGTCATTTGTTTAATTAATTGTTTATAAGTAACTGAGAACTTTTAATATTTTTTATTTTATTTTTCTAAATCTTAATGTCGCTTTAAATATTTCAGAATTTAAAAAGTGCAATAAATGTAATTTTTATCAGATACATATATTTTCGATTCTCTTTACAATCTGAAACTCTTGTATTAAAATTTAACAGGCTAAATTTTCTTTTCGTCAATGTGCTGCCATCTAGCTTATTATTTCATTAGTTCAAAGAATTCAAAACCATTAAAACTGCTACAGTTTTATTTTCAAGTCTCGATATTTTGTTATTATGCATAATATTTGCCTAGTTTATCAAATTTATCTTAATCTAAATGTTATTGAAGGGAACTGAAAGCAAATTGTTTTTAGATAGTTTCATTAAATCGCCTTTAACGTTTGTGGGACGTAGTTTTTTCCTAATTAATAATTTTTATCAATAAATAGGTACATTAATTTTTATTTGCGTTTTCAAAGTATTAGGAGCTTAATTTTTTAGCTTTTTTTTCCACTGAATTAACTAAGGTTTGTGTAACAGTCAGAAATTTATACCAATAATAATCTAACCTAATAATTGGTTAGTAATTATCTAACTCTAAATATCAATGATAATCTAATTTTTTTTTTTTTTTTTAATATTTTCTATAGCATTTCAACTTTTTCTTATTCTACTTTTTCGCCCACTTGTAATACACGCATTTTATTCTTCTTGGATTATTATTTTTAAATTTTATTCTACAAATAAATAGAAGCACTACTAATAAATCGAAATATTTGAATAAATCATATTACGTGCTAGTGTTGTGCGAGAATTATTTCTGCGAATCTAGTAAATCATTTCCCATTTTCTAAGATGTTTCAATGTCTATTTTTTAAATTTATAAATTGTCAACGTGCTTATGATACCAATCAAAGAGTTTCAAATAGCGTGAATTAGAAGTGGTTGTCAAGTCTTATTAAATTGTAATATTGTTTTTCTTTTTTAAATAACTGATTAAATTACTTCAGACAAATTTTAATTTATTAATTAAGTGTTACGTAAACATTCTTAATCTCTTGAGATGTAAGACAACACGAAATTTTTGATAAAATTTTCTATTAAAACTCTTGTATAGCGAAAAATCGCATATTGGAATAAGTAATCAAAAAATTGTTTGGGTATCGTGACCTGGGGGTATAAATCGGCGATTTCGATTTTTTTTTTCTCTTTTCATTATTATCATCCATGTTTTAATTTCAGTTCATTAGTTCTCCCAAACATTTTTAAATTTTGATCTTCGATTTTTTGAAATGAAGTTATCGTAGCTTTTTTGTATGCTGACATACTAAACCAGAAGAAAACTTAAGACTAAATGTTTATTGTTTTAATTAAACTAAGATGTTTGCTGTTTTGTTTTAAATAGTTTAACCTTTATTTATTTGAATAAATTATGTATTTAAAAGAAATAAAATTTATTTTCAGAAATTAATTTTAGAATTATTAATTTTTTTATTTCCTTAAATTTTGGAATTTTTTTATACCAACAAACGTTACAAAAAAATTTTATTAAAGAATTCTTTGAAATTTGGTCTGTAGATTTTGTATTATGTCAGCAATGTTTTAAATTAAAAGCTGAGGTCTAAGTGTGAATTTGTTATTTTTACCAAGCTTTAAGTAAGAATAGTTACAATTTATCTTTAAAAATTCAATATTTAACAATGTAGTCTTTTCTATTTATTTATTTATTTTTTTTAAAGTTTTTTAAAAAATTTGCAATTAGTAGAGCTGTTAGCATGACATAAAAAATGTGTAGTTTTTAAGCTCAAATTTGAATGTATTTTGAAAAATATTCTATAAATTTTTAAACTTTGCTTTTATTAACTATAAATTTTAATTTAACCCTTTCTCTTAAAAAAAAATAATAATAGTTATGTCGAAATCAGTTGAATACCTTGCTTAATATTGACGTAGCTATTAAAACTTGATTTTATATGAAAGTGTCATTAATGTGGATAACTTAAAAGATTGGGTACTTAATTACTTTTTATGTCAATAAATAATGCAACACACAATTTCTCATAACATTTTATTTAAATTTTAAATGCATATACAATTTTATATTCATTAGTAGTTACACAATTATTTGATTAGCTATAAATTAAAAGGGAATTGAGTGAAATCGCAGTGAATTATTTTGAAAAGATTTTTCTGTTGTTAATATATATTATTAAAAATAAGCAACTGAATTAAACTAATTACTCAAATAAATATCGTGTAAGAAATTTTAGTTGTTTTATATTAATTATTATATAATATATAGAATGGAGAATTCATATCAAACCTGCGAACATCAAATTTCATCTTTGGTTTCTGTCACGAGCTAAGTTTCTAGGAAATCAAACTAAAACTGGAAATAAATATAAGTAAATTTGATTAATAGAAGAAGCAAGTTTAAATAATAAGAGTAATCAATTTCTAATTAAATACTGTGTTGAAATAAACTGGATTGAAAAATATGAAGACATAAATTTTAAATTGTTGGCTTCGATTTTTAAAGTATAAGAAATTTTGCATTCATATATTTTCTAAAGGAATATATTGCCTTTCAATTAAATTTTTTTTTAATAGTGCAGCTGATTTTTTAAAAAAGTATTCTGTCTGTTTATTTTATTCTAAAAATTGTTTAAATTTGCTAGTCATTCGGTCGAAAAATTTTAATTATTTCTATCTTTTAATTTATTGTGCCGCTCTAAAAAAATTTAAAATCTCGCTCTTTATGCCCTTAAAACTTACTATTAAATCTAGCATCTTTAAAGAAGCTTTTTAATAATATGATAAACATTTCATGCATAAAGTTTCTTCAAAAATTTTTGTTAAAAATTTGGAAATTTAGTTTCGACAGCTGCTTTTAGAAAATATGAGTAAACTGTTTTACTTTGCTTTAACATTAAGCAAAAAATGCATATTTTTAAATCATATGTGCTGCTGCACTTTAAACAACGATAATATTCATTTAATCTAAGTTTGAGGTGCATTCTATAATTTTTTTAATTTTTCATTTCTATCTCAAAAATGTTACTAATAAAGAAAAATAGCACTGCTTTATCATGGCATATGAGAATACATATAGTCAGTCCTATGATAAATTATTAAGTATCAAGTAAAAATAGTTCAGCTTTATTTAAGAATTCCGTGATTATTTTTCTTCGAAAATCCGATGCATAACGTCACTGATGAAACTCAAGTCACGCATGCTGTCATTTTTCGAACGCTCTCCGATTAATCCGAATACCTCTTTTAACTTCTTCCAAGAAATAATTAATTCAACAATAAATATTTTTTAAGAAAAGAAAGAGTAATAATAATAGAACATTCGATAAATCTGTCCCGTTAGATCAATAAAGTTTTCTTCTTTTATTCTGCGTTGTAATCGTATTAAACGATGTCCGTCTCTGAGGCACTTTTTTTGGTTTTTTCAATCTTTTAAACTTTTAATTGCTGTCATTAAGGATCATTAGAGACTGAATGTTGTCGAATCATGTATCATCTCTGACACTTATGGATTGGAGACTTGGTAATAAATGTCCATAATCGAGTGTGTTTTCCATAATGGCTCCATTAACTAGGTCATTGCACCGCGACAGTTACGGTTTATCAACTACGATGGCGAAATTATTGTATAAATAAAACTAAAGGTATACTTTAATCAGAAATATTTAACGATGCACACATTCATACATACAAAAACTAATATCAATCATGATTTTTGTGTTTGAGCTATTTATCTTTACTACTTTTTATATTTTATAATTATTTTCAAATTTTAAAACATTTATATTTTCTTTTAATATAGTTTTTATGTCTTATTATTTTCATATTTCTGTATTTTTGTAATTTTCATGAATTATAATTTTATTTTTATCAAATTCTTTTTTACTGAAATAATTACTTGCAAAATTTAACTTAAACAAGCATTTAGATTTTTTTTAAAAAAATTAAGAGATTATGCAATTAATTTCTAAAGAAATTTAATTTTTAAATTTTGGTGAACAACTGTTAATATTTAAACGTATGACATAAAGCAGTAGTTTTGCTGTTGTACAATAGTGAAACTACTCTTATTTTTGAATAAATTTAAATATAAGAGACTTGAAGAAATACTTTTTTACATTTTTACCTTTTCTAATGTCCATTTATAAGACAATTTTTTTGAAGTATGTATAAAATTATTGCATCGCTGTACAATAATATATCTTTTATTTTTGCTAAACCGTTTCATGCTTTTTTGATAAACATTTCATCTCTTGCTTGATATTTACATGTGTTTACACATTTACTACTTTTATGAGTACAAGGAAAACATTAAAGCAAAACCAAAGTTTATTTTTATGCATATTTTCGATGCCTTAAAATTAAGGAAAACTCAGACGTCCAAGGTAAGGGTTTCGCTTATAAACAATTTGGACAAATTTCATCCTTCCGAAATTTTTATAAAATTCTTTTTAGAACTCTAAAGCGCTATTTTCATGTATTGTTTGCAACAACTTTTTTCCATTTTTTATTAAGGGGTTTAACTTTGCGCTCTGAACGCCCCCAAGTACAAAAATCATGCTATGTTTTTAGAAAATTTGAAGAAAAAAAAATGGTTAGAAAGAAGAAACTAGTAAGTTGTTTTGGGGTTGTGCAGACAATTCCTTTGCTTAATTGGCATAAGAAAAACTTAATTGACATAACTCAAAAATAAAATCTGTATCAAATTATCTTTTGATGCTTAGCTACGAAAAGGATTAGATGAAATTTATACTGATCTTGTTTTGATCGGATAATGGATTATTCAAAAATCCCCACATGTAGTAGATTATTCGGCAATTTACCCTTATTAGTGGATTATTTGACAATTTTCTCGGAGCATTAGATAATTTTACAAAAAATTCCCTGTAACTTATATTTATTGTTAGTACATTACAATCTTTTAATGCACATTTACTTCGTAGTTTTGATCATTAAAAACCATTTATTGACAACAAATTAATGAACATAATGAAAACCAAAACAGTCCACTGAAAGCTGGATGATCAATCTTGCAGGCAAAAATATTTTCAATGTACATGCACGAATTTCATGGAGGGGGGGAAGCCGTATCACTTTGCGATTACATTCTTCAGAAGAAAGGTTACATAACTTGTCTAACTCACCCTTTAATAACTTCTCATCAGAATTTTCTATTTTTTAATTTCCTTTCAATTTCTTTATAATGTGCGTCATTCCACACAGCTGTTTTCAAATTGACACTTCGTATGATATTACTCTTTTTATAACCGATCTTGGAGTTGTCAAAAACAGACAATTGTACTTTTTTTTTTAACTCCCCCTTTATTAATCTTTCTTTTTAACTGCTTGGAGTGTAATATTATTTAAGGTTAGGTTGGACTCCACCCTGCTTGTCTGATAGCACCACACTCCACCCTATTCTTTATAATTGCACCAAGGCTTTTTTAATACCATCGAGTTGTAAGAATTGTTAGTACCTGGCGCAGATTGGTTTGCGTTTATTATTTACTTGCATCTCTGCTGTTCTGCTGAAAGTTTTAATTTATATGGTCTTGTAAATCTCATGGGCGCGGTTGATACAGCGATTGCGTGAAATTAAAACGTTTCGGCTATTTATATTTCTTAGAATTTGTTTAAAAGAATTTTTTTTTTTTATCAGGAAGTTATTGCTTATAATTATTAGAATAACGCACGTTAATTCGAAAGTATCGGATTATTAATTCTAAATACTTATTACAAAATATAAACTAATAAGCATTGGATTGTTAAGAAATGCAATCAAGGGAGGAAAAAAAAACTAGGTGCATTCTAGTTACATAAGTTGATGGATTACAACCACAGACATTTTTATCTATACGTTTTTTTTTCTTCCCCAGGTTCCAAATTAAAATAGCAAATTTTTTTTCTCCCTGGTAATTCCTATTTTTCTTCTTGAATTGGGTTTTCTCCTATATAAAGTACCTCTTATGACTTCTATTTCAACGATAAAAATTTCATGTTGTAAACATTTCTTACGGTTATGAAAAAGATAGGAGAACAATTTTTTTTAAAAAATTCTTTATTAGGATAGGAATCTTTTATTGCAAAATTATTTCTGTTAATGAAAAATGATTCGTTTGGTTTAAAACAAGAATGGCCACAATAAATTAATCGCTTTTTGAAATTTATCATTTTCTAAAGACTAAATTGAATTCGATGTTATTTAAGGAGCCGTAAAAGAAATTGCATAGATTGATGGAGAACATATCTTATTGAAAAGTATATTTTTATCATACACCAGTAAGTATTAGACATTTTTAAATTAAACTGGTTGTCTTACAGTTTTTCCATTAATGTTAATGTTAGCATTTAGCAGAAAGCTGTGCGTAAGCGCTTTAAAATAATCATTTTCTTTTCTTTATAAAATCGTAATTAATATGAACTTTGTAGTTTAAACTTTAAAAAAAAATACTTAGTAAAAAAATTTTTANTATATATATATATATATATATAAACGCGGTGATAATGTAATTTATTGCTCAATATATTATTTATTTTTTATAGTTCGAATATCATTATTTTAGTGTTCTTTTATACAGTAAGATTAAAAATCCTATTTGATAAGTTTAACACAAATAAATCAATATTACCTGAATAGATTCATTGTAAAAAACCTGCAAGAAAGAAACAAAATCATTAAATTTATTTAAATCTGAACGCCGCTAAAACTAATTCATAAGAGATAAATAAATTGCACGTATAATTTAACATCAAATGATAATAAAACCGATTCACATCATTTACAATAAAAATACTGTTTTCCTTGCAATAAAATTCAAATTTTCTTCCAATTCCAAATAAGGAATAATTCTACCCATACCATGAAAATACTGTTAAAATGTTGTATTAGTATCTATTATATATGCTAATGATGCGTGCAAACGGAAAATGATTCTTAGAATGATTCCACCTGCATCTCCTCCTCCCCATAAATTTTATTTATTAGCATAAAATGATGACTTATTGATTAATTCATGATATAAATGTCTACCGATCGCTTTTATGTCTGAGTTGATGCATTGAATGAAAATCATATCGGCATGCTGGTACCTCAAAAGTTGCAGTGCGATCAATAATATGAAACGACTAAATCTCCATAACTCTGCTGTTTAAGGGGTTTTGAGGAAATGTACTATGTAGCTGACAATAAGAGACAAATACATTTTTATTTAATGGTTTTTCTGTTAAAAATTTTAGTGTGTCTACAATGCGAAAAAAAAGAAGAAAGAATAGAATGACTTTTAGTATACATGTTTTTTAAAATTCGATTTCTCAGGAAGTATTCGATCGATTTTGCTCAAATGTCGCATTTTGCCTTATAAAATTGCATTCTTTAAAATGATGTAAAAATTTGTATAGCTTCCAATTTAAATTTTTAATCACTATTATGAAATAAAAATAATTAAATATAATAAATAATTATTAAAAGTTGTTTTTTTTTACGTGGAATTATCTTTGTATAAACGAATTTTAAAATTGCTTTCAAACATTTTTTGATTCACTTAAAAAATTCCCGAGTTTTTGGCGAATTACACAAAAAATAAATATATTTTCCAGATTGCGGGCTACCTTCTATATTTTGAGGGTCATAAATCCAAATGTGTCGAATAAAAGGTATGTTTATTTAGAGAAAATTGAGTTTTCGTAGCTTAAAATATCGTCTGCATGTGAATCGTCTGCATCGTAATTTAAAATATCGTCTGAATCGATTGTTCTCAAATTGCTTTCAAATGTTTTTTGATTCACTTAAAAAAATTCCCGAGTTTTTGGCGAATTACGCAAAAAATAAATATATTTCCCAGATTGCGGTTACCTTCTATATTTTGAGGGTCATGAATCCAAATTTGTCAAATGAAAGGTATGTTTATTTAGAGAAAATTGAGTTTCCGTAACTTAAAATATCGTCTGCATGTGAATCGTCTGCATCGTAATTTAAAATATCGTCTGCATCGATTGTATGTGAAAATTCGATCATTAGATCAAAAGATATTCAATTCAAGAACGTTTTCCTTCTTACTTCTTTTTTCTTCTTCTTCTTTTCTGCCTTTTTTTTTGGCACCTAACTTTACTGACATTATTTATAAGTGTTTTAATAAATTTTATCACATTTGGAAAGTATAAATAGTTATCTAAGTAATATCGGAGCTGAACATTAATTGTAATACAAATCAGTCAACTTTGTTACTTTCACCGCCGAAGGGTTAATAATTTTTAGCTAAATTTTTTACCAGCTAATAAAATAATAACCGACTTATAAAATGCAAGAAAAATTATTTTTTGACAAAAAAAAAGTTAAATAGAAATGAATAAAATACTTCTTCCCGTTTTTGACGAATTCAATCGTGACATGTTAAACCATAATATTGTGCGAATTTGCACCTTAATAGGGCGCTAAGTTGAACCAGATTTGCAAACGTGCTTACGCTTGATTATACGATAATTTAGTTCAACTTATATGGTAACACGCTACAATTTAACGCCTTACTAAAGTTGCTACAAATTTGCGTTATATTATGATTCAGGCAGATACATTATGGTCCAACGGTGGTTCACTTTTGATAGTGTCGGTTCAAAGTTTCATACGCAGAGTGTTCTGAAAATATCCAGTCCCCTTGAAAGCAAAATTTTCATAAACTTAAATAAGGCGAATAAAGAGGGACTTAGCTTTACAAATTGTTTGAAAATATGTATGAAGTGCTAGGGTATTATCTTAAACCACAATTTCAAATTGTTCAGGAGAACGTTTTTGATTTAAAATCCATGTAAATAATCAGATATTGTTGTTGCCTAGTAGAAATTCTGAGATACCTATTTGGAAATAATATTGAGGAACTGATTGTAATAAAAATAAACAGTTTCACCTTGAACGTTGATAAAAATAGGGTTGTGAATATCTTGCCATATTTTGTGTTTTAAATGAATATTGAAAGTTCATGCTTTACGAAAAGAATATAGATACGCAATTTAAATGGTCATCTTACAACTTTATATTTCTAAATCCTGCATTACAAAAAATAGATAGTTGCAAGCATTTTAAAATAATTTCAATTAAAATGAGTATTTATCTCCTAGAAAGTGTAAGCTTTTAATGATATTTCAGAAATATTAAGATGTATTATTTCTCCTTGGCCGAATATTACCATAGAGAATTAAAAAAAAATTTAACATTAATGTAGAAATTGGAACATTTTGTTTGAGCACTAGTTAGAATTTTGGATTTAGATAGATTTTGTTATTCAGGAAAATGAGATATTGCTTTAATTTTCAAAATTAAGTAAAAAATTAAATACGGGGTTTATAATCAATCTTAAAATGAAAAAAGTACTAAAAAGTAGGTTTATGTATATATCAATTAGTAAAACGTGTATTTAACCAATTAAGGATGTATTAAAGCAAACATTAAGTAACATATTAGCATATAGGCATTAGCATTAAGTCTTATCCCAACGTCTCGAGTTGTCTTCAATGTCAATATTTAATTTTGACAAAAAAGGTCTCTGTGCATTGAATCTTTCTTGTTTTTTCCCTTTAAAAAACTTTTTTAGAAATTAATAATTTTTTACTGACCCAATTTAACAGTAAGCAGATACTTTTTTTTCCTTCACATTTTTCCCTCCTTCCTTCAAGAAGAAATTAACCGTCTCATCTGAAAAAATAAAAAATAAGCATCGTGACTAAATATTTAATAAAAATATATTTTAATTTAAATTTAATTATACGAAATGAAAAAAAAAAACATCAAACATTTAAATTGCATCGAATAAAATTCTAGTTAGACAGCCACCAGACTTAAATAGAAAAGTACTATCGATTATAATTATTACTTAGCAGAAACAACTTACACACTAACGTTGGCAATTATTTTGACTATAACGATAATAATAAACAAAGCAACGTTTTGTTATAATTGAACTGTTAAAAGATTGATATGTTAAATAGATAAATAAAATTTGTTTTTCATAAATTTTAAAACTGTTGATTGATCAAATAAGTTTTTGTGTGATGGCCTTCATAAAATTAGATATTATTAATACTCGATTTCATAGGTTTCTAGATAAAAGTAAATGCTATTAAAAAAATCAATCCATTTAACAAAATACTAACGAGTTTATTTCATACAAATTTCTATGAAAAAAACTTATGTTTCAGTATTGCAAGCTTAGCTTGTAACTATGTAACTAATTTTTGACAAATGGCGTTGAAATTATAGATATGGAATTTAAAAAAAAAAAAAAAAAAAAACACGGTTTTGACTTGAGGCAGTTACATTGTTTGAAAAAACTTTTCCATAGAAATTTTAAATTGTAAGCCATTTTTTTTTTGTTAAATACTAATAAAAATAAAATTAACGATCGTCTGCAGCACTGCTGAAGAGACTATTTTTAGGAAAACTTTTTTTAACTGTGACCAGCATCATTATAGTTGATAGAAATTCGCACAATCTCAAAATGATTTTTAACTCCTATTCTTAACAGCAATAAATATTTTTTTTTTTTTTTTTTAACTTACAGATTTTGAATTGTACTTAGTCCATTTTAGCTGCTCAAAGAATTCGTCTTTTTTGCGTTTATTTATTTGTTTATTTTTTACAGAAAATATGTAAGATTTGGGAATGGAACGGATTAGATTTTAAGTGAAAGAGTTTGGATTCTTTGAAAAGCTATAAGCCAATAATGGTTTTATTTTTTTCCGTGGACACACTATTTATTTGAAGTGGAAAATACTTTTTGATAAAGTTATATGAAAGGGATATAGAATTTAAAAAATCATTTTAGTAACGGAGGAATGAAAATATGAAAGAATATCCCAGAGCATAAGTCGAGGAATAATTTTCTTTTTTTTATTTGATATTTTTCGTTTCTAATATTTCTATTACATGCTTAAGTACAAGGTGATGAAAAAAAATAAATAACAGGGTAATTCAAAAATAACTTTCTGAAAAATTTCCTGAATCAAACTACAGCTGAAAAAAAGCATTCAATAAAAAAAAAATAGTAATAAAAACTTGCTGAAGAAGAAAAAATTAAAATAATTTTTTTTTGTAAAAATTGTCTTAGAATTTTATTTTAAAATATATGTTGTAAAATTTTGCATATTTTTTAGAATTTCTTACGGGTGGAATCAAATTTTTACACTGTCTTTTTGTGGTCTATGTTAGCAGCGGTTCTCAAAAGTTGTAGAACCCTAAGGTACCGCGGCAGTTACGAGTATACTCCACGAGTTAGAACTATATTTACAATTAATTGTAATTAGTGATTAATATTAACTGTAAACGTGATTTGTAATAAATGATTTGTAAGCGTGATAAGTGATTTGTAATAAGTAGTGATTTGTCGATCAAGGGTTCCATAATCAAAAATAATTGAGAACCACAATCTTTCTTGCGAAAGGGTTCTAAGTACCCCTTCTTTTCTTTGGATTACTGTTTATATAAATTATAAAAATAGCTATTCATTTTTGTTTTAAATCGATTTTTTCCCACTACGTTACATCCTTAACATTTCATAAATAAAATAATTAGAAATGAAATATCGGTATCAGATTTAGAGACGTCAGTATTATAAATTTTTGATTCTAATTTTCCTAAAGAAATAGAAACTTCAAAGCTTCATTGAGTTATATTTGTTTTAAAAGTTATGCAAACTTCAACTGATGCAGTTTATATTTGCAACTTTCATAATGAAACATTAATAATTATTTAGTTAATTATTATGTATTCAATTATACCATTTGATTGATTTAAGAAAGAAGTGATCGTCTTATTGACTTTTGTAATAGTATAAAAGTAATAAATAAACAAGCATTCGTTTACTCTTTATTATATATAAATTCAAAAAAGAAAATGAGGCAGAGATTTACTCTAATTTTGCGTAATATAAATAAATGAAAAATATATGTCATTCTTAAATCTAATTTAAACTAAAGATTAAGACTTATTCATCTAAATCTAAAAAAAATACTTAATTTATGAGTTATAAATTTCTTTTGCATATCACAAAATTTAAAAGTAAAAGCTCGATTAATTTGAGGAAAAAAGTTTCGTTATTTTTTTTCCATTATTCTAATTTATTTTTGATCAATAATATCCTTATTGCTGTATTCATAAAGTCTTTATTGCTGTATTCATAATTCATAAAATCGATATTATCGTAAGCTTTAATGACATTCTCTGCATCATTATTATTAATGACTGCTGTGTGTATTCGAGGAAATCAAAATATCTTGGAAAAGCAATATTTGTTTTAAATGGAAAAATACTGAAAATAGTAAAAAAGAAAAATGTTTTCTACTAATCATAATAAAAAGATTAGTATTCACAATTGTTGCTATTAGAGATGAGAGAGATATTATGTATATGGGATTAGAAAAAGCAATAGAAAAGAGTAGTAATAAAACATTTTATTTCTTTGCGTTGACAAACAAAGAAATGGCATTGGCTTATGCATTAAAATTCTTATAAATACTGAATTTATTTTAGGAATTTATTTATGTATTTTAATTTCATCTTATCCTCTTTTTAAACGGTGTACAGCGCGGGAAAAAAAGAGAACGAATTATCCGAAATAACTTTTGATGTAATGATTGGATTTTAACCTACTATTATTCAAACTTAGTCATTCACGAGTCTAATCTGATATATGCTGATTAATTAGTGCAGACGACATTTTAAGTTACGAAATTTGATTAAAAAAAATTAAAAAAAAAGCATTCTTTCTCCGAATAAACATACCATAATTATAAACGGGATTCAGATACTTGACCCTCAAAATATGGGGAAGGGGGTTACAGCAACCACGGAAATATGGTCCCAATCGTTTGGTCCGGAGAGCGATCGAAAGTTTGCGCCTCTTATTTTATTTTATAACCGTTGTTGATCAGCCGACCCAATTTCTGGTTTGCGATTACAAATGTTCAACTCCTTAATCTTGTAATTTTGAACCTAATCCAGAAGACGCAGGAACTGCTGGATCAAGTATTGAGCTCTTCGATGGTGATCAGCAATTTCTCGATAGCTCATAAATTAATTTAAACTGTTTATTTTAACTATTTAACGCCTTTGAGCAGTTGGCGATATTTTTAAATTAGCCAAAAGATCTTAACGTGATTTTTTGAAGATGTGTCTCGAAGGAAAATAAAAAAGCCACAGTTTAAGTATCTCACACTAAAAGCAAAGGGGCGATTTTAAAATATATTTATCAGCTTTCCGTGAATAATTATCCGGGCTTTAGATCGGACTAATAACTTTTATGTTTTAAAAGTTATTAAACTTTTTTTAAAAATCGCCAATTTAGCGTCCTTTTTTACCTAGATAAACATTATAAAAAACACTGATTTATTCTCATTTTTTGCAAATTGTTATGAGCCCCAATAATGCAGCATTTGGAAGTTTTTAATTTCCTTTTCACAATACTGTTAGTTATGGCTTTTCTCCATTATTGACGTTTTGGGTCACTTTCAGAATAAGCATAGACAGCGTTGGCTTTAGATAGGCTAAACTTTGCCTAGCTGTCATGAGTAGCTATTGCTAACTCACAGCGCTTATGAAAACAGCATATTATTCGGGGAAAAAATCGCTATATCGTGTGACGACAGGGCCTTTGAGAAATAGCCTTAAAATTAAACCCCGTTGCGTAATAAATTGAATACTTAACTTCAAAACTAAGCAACATAAATTTCAAACAGCCAAAATTTTAATGTTTTGAATTAAACTTTTTTTTTTCTTTTCATATTTGTAAATCATACTAAAATGTATTGCAAATGCCTTTTCTATTTACTTGTGGTATAAAAAATGATGGTTTAATATTTAAATACATTTGACCTAATTTTATTTCTCTTAATAAGATTTTAAGTGTCCATACACTGGGCCCGTGTCCAAGAGGTCGAGGGTTTGATCCCCGCCTGAAGACTCCCCGTGTCGTAAATGGTGACAGGCTCACGTAGAATCTGGCGGGTCACAAAGTCCCCCATGTTCCCATAACAAATCACACTTCTGGGGCAGTGTTTCCCAAATGTATGACTTTTAATTACCCTTTCTAAATTTTTTGTAACGCTGTGTACCACTAATAAAGAAATGAATGTATATTTTACTAAAATTATAAAAAATATAATTTTATAAATATAATTTTATAATTATAAAAATATAATTTATAAAAAATTGCACAAAAATTAAAAATCACAACTGGCTGTTGACACCACTAATTATTCACTGTTAACACTGCCAAAAACAGCCAGTAGAAAAATACGTAATCATAAATTTTCATGGCTTCGCTTTGTTTTAAAATAAAAGTTTTTAAAATTTTCGTTTGTTGCAAGATATTTCGCATTAGAACGCGTACCCCCACGAAACTGTTCCCGTTCCCGTAACCCTGGGGATACACGTACCACACTTTGGGAAACACGGGTACTGATTCAGGAGTTTCCTTAACTTCTGGATTGGGTTCAAAATTACGAGACTACAGAGTTGAACATAGGTAGTCGTAAACCCTAAATAGGGTCGGCCTGTTCAACGACGGCTATAAAAATAAAAATTCTAAAGTGTTTTTTTCTTTTTATTAATTGCATTCAGAGAATTGCGGACGTGATAATAAAATTGACATTTAATTTATCTACAAATAAAAATGTTTATTGAAACAGTTTCTTTGAAAG